TACTAGAGTATATTTGCATGTTGTAATGTTTCAAAAACACATTATTATTCTCATACCACACATTCTTCTTAGCGTCTGTCTCTTTAAGGCCCGCCTCCTGAAAAGCCCAGTCCGCTCTGATTGGTCGGCTGGTCTGATCTCAGCCAGGTAGCCGTGGTTACATACATAGACTGTATAAAAGATGGACGTAGCTGCCGTGACGTCACCCGTTGGTTTCTGCACTGAGAAAATGAAGCCAGGGTTTTGCTACTTCCTGGTTGACTTCTTGGGTTTTTGGAGCCAGTGATGCAAAAATCGTTGGAGGGGGGCGGAGCCATAGGAGCAGCGATTGGTCAGATGGGCCCTCTTTGCCCCGCCCACATTTACCGCCTTCTGCTCGCTTCATCTGCATTGTTGCTGCCGACTGTCAATCAAGCCAGCCACGCCCCTTGCCCCGCAAAATGTTGACGATTTTTAAAAATTTAGTATTGATTTATTTTCAGATTGGCCACCTGATCTCTGAATTTGATGATGAAAACTAATAAGACAAAAATCCTGAGCTGGAGGAATGCAGTATTTCATGATCTGTGATCACTTCTTTTCCAATTCAAGTCTTTGGGAGCCAGGGCTTTGTGGAGCCAGCAGCTAGTGGACGTAGTGATATTGCAGGTTTTGACACTTCCGGGTTGGCTTTATTTTTCAGGGCCGGTTGCTACGTCCATCTTTTATACGGTCTATGTTTTAGCTTCTGTCTCTTTAAGGCCCGCCTCCTGAAAAACCCAGTCCGCTCTGATTGGTCGGCTGGTCTAATCTCAGCCAGGTAACGGTGGTTACATACCGTAACCTCAGATCTGTAGGTGTGTTCTAATTCAGAAAGGCTAATTCTGAAGACGAAATGCGTCACAATGGGCTACTTTGAAGGCTCATGGACGTGTCGTTCTATTACTGGGCCACGAAGGATCCAACAGATGGATGTTTTTCACGGCCCAACCTGCCCCATGATTCTTGTCTTTCTCCTGAGAATATGGTGAACATTTCAACCTCCATCTTGCCAAAATGACTAAAGTCTTGTCTTGACCGTCAGCTTCAGCTGTCAAGAATGAAACAAGAACACAAAAATAGAAAATCCTCCGTAAGCCATCCTTTGCATCTCTCGAAGGATGAAACTCCTAAAAAAAGAAAAGAAAAAGCTTACGAGATGTAGCTCCAGTGTGAGCGGCTCTAGCGAGGAAGTAGCGGCGGCCTCGTTCCGTGTTTGAGGACCAGACTAGAGGCTAGGTAGGCGTTATGTAAACGTGGAACATGGTGATGTGGAAAGAAGAACAACTTCTAATGAGGTGTTTCAGGCAGTTTTCTGTGGGAGATAATAACTCGCTCTGGCCCTCGCCTTTGGAAGCTCTCAGACCTTTTACATGCACGAAAGAAAAAAGCAGAATCTGGGCTCTTGAAGCTCATCTATGTGTTGGTGTGTTCGTGCCACTCTGTCCATACTGTATAGATCAGACTGTACATAATGGACTTCAGTGCTGCTTTTGCTTCTGGTTAAACACTAAACTGCATCTGGTTGTTTTAGTTCTTGTACTCGGCGGCAAAGTGAAAGAATTTACTACAAATTAACATTATCTTTTCATTTATTTTCCTACATTTAGTGGCAGATGACATGAAAGAAGAACCCCTTACAGCTGTGCTTCTGTGCAGGAGATTGCACCGTTGTTGTTTTGTTGTTGTTTTCTGCAGCGTCAACGAATGTAAAAATAGTCCCCCCCCCCCTCCTCTATTAATTATGTTAATGAATTGTGTCATGTGCAACACGGCAGCGTTAAACGTGCGGCGAGAAGCAGTTTGTCTGTTTCCCGACGTCTCCTTCTCCCGTCTGCTCTCTTTTGTTATTGTTGACGTTGCGGTGAAACTCGGCAACGCTCATGAGAGACAGACCTGTTTGTTTCTGTGCTTCGCGTTGCGGGGATGAAGAGGAGGAGGAGGAGGAGGAGGAGGAGGTTGTTCTTATTTGCCTTCAGTATTTGTTTACTAGCGCAAAAACAGACGAGTTCTGGGCGAACAGAGTCGGGGAGGCATTGAGTC